AAGGTTGTAGCCCGGGTGGGCAAGGTGGCGTATAGGCTGGATCTGCCATCCGAGCTCCGTCAGATACACAACACTTTCCATGTTTCTCAGCTGCGGAAGTGCCTGGTAGACGACTCCGCAGTGGTTCCGTTAGAGGACATTCAGGTCGATGGTGGCCTGAATTATGTTGAGAGACCAGTAGCAATCATCGATCGGAATTCGAAGGATTTGAGGAACAAGCAAGTGGAACTCGTGAAGGTGCAATGGCAACACCGGAAGGGATCAGAGTGGACTAAGGAGCCGGTGGAAGAAATGATGGAGCATTATCCTGAGCTATTTTTGGAGAAAGCAACAGACTTCGAGGACGAAGTCTAAAATAAGTGGGGGAGATTTGTAGCACCTGGTTCCTGGTATGTATTCTTGATTATTAACTCTCCTTATATATTGCATTTTAATCTTGGACTCGGCAAGTTGAAGGACTAACTCGCCGAGTAGAAGCGGGACTAGACGCGTGATCTACTCTGCTACTCGACGAGTAGGCTCGTGGGACTCGGCGAGTAGACCCTGTCTGGACTAAAACCCTAACCTGGGTGTTTGCACCCTATTTAAACAATCTAACCCAACCTCCATTTCCCCTAGCACCCCCAGAGATCTGTAGAACGAAACCCTAGACCCCTTTGTGTCCTTGTGGGTGATTTTTAGCATTGTGAAGGTGGTTTGGAGCTTGGGAGAAGAAGGAGAAGGTTGAAGAGTGCAAGAAGGGAAGAAGATCCGAAACCTACTCTGTGAAGGGCTTCTATTCAGGTAGAAAAGTTCCTACCTTGATCGTTAGTTCATTGAACCCCCTTTTTGTCCCTAAAAAGAGGTTTTAAGCCCTAAGAACCTAAATCTCTATGTGTTTATGGTTAATGTTCTGCAAGGACTTCGGATTTGGACCTTTAGGACATCCTAGTAGCATAAAGTCTCTGTGGTTGAGGTGATTGAGGTCTCTATTGAGTGTAGGACCTCTTAAAGAGCTTGGAATTGTATGTCTGAGCTCATAGGGCTGTGCATGCACGTAAAGTTTGCAACTTTATGTGGTAAACATGCCCTAGGACCATAGATATGTGGTTTTGAAGCATTGCATGTCTCAGATCTGGCCTACTTGGGAAATGGGTCGAGGGACTCGGCGAGTCCCATAGTGGAACTCGGCGAGTTCTATGCAGACGGTCTTAGACTCGGCGAGTTGGATGAACAACTCGGCGAGTCCTATGAAGATTGCCTGGAGCTCGCCGAGTTGTTCTTCAAACTCGGCGAGTCATATGAACTTTCGCAGAGCAAGAGGGGTTTAAGCGTTGAAGGATCAACCCTTCGTACCTGCACGCGGAATTAACCGTGTAACGAAATCCCCAAAACCCCAAACCCTTGTATGGGGTGTTCTGGTGTGGATTGGAAGCGAGTAGGGGATCCGCTCGAGGAACTCGGCGAGTTGCTTGCAGACTCGGCGAGTCGGGACTCGAGTCGGCCCCATATTCCCGAGTGGTGAGTCAAGGGTGACTCAGTGAGTGGGAGAGGGTCTTGGCGAGTAGGAACGGATTAGTAAGGGAAGGACTCGGCGAGTTTCTCGCGGACTCAGTGAGTCCAGTCAACTGGAAGTTGACTTTGACTTGGATTTCGACTTGGTCAAGGGTAAAAGGGTCATTTTACCCTAAGTACATCTAGCAGTGTTTGATTGATCGTTTTGTGGGAATTATAGCCGGAGGATGTCTAGAGCAGCAGTAGTAGACAGTCAGTTCCCGATCAGATCAGCAGCTACTTTGAGGTGAGTTACCTTCCAGTAGCGGTGGATCTACAGCCACAATGCCGACCCACCAGTAGGAGTTGTATGTAGATGATTGTCTCTGTGATATTCATCTAGGGATTACTACTACCTGTGTTATGTGATGTGCTAGTATGACATGATGCTATGTGCTTGTGACAGTAGGGGGAGATAATCCCCAAGATATCCGGTCGGTAGGGCCGAAGGGGTAGTCATACCCAGCCATGCTAGATAGATTCTGATATTGTGATACATGTTATGTGGTAGTAGTAGATGGGACAAATAGTTCCCCAGTATCCGGTCGAGAGGACCGAAGGGGAGGCCAACACCCAGATATGCTAGGCAGCATCCGGTCGAGAGGACCGAAGGGGAGGCCAACACCCAGATATGCTAGGCAGTATTCGGTCGAGAGGACCGAAGGGGAGGCCAGCACCCAGGTATGCTAGGCAACGTCCGGTCAAGAGGACCGAAGGGGTAAGTCGGACACCCAGATATGTCTGAAAATATATGTATGTTATGTGGTACGGTGGGGGAACTCACTAAGCTTCGTGCTTACAGTTTTCAGTTTTGGTTTCAGGTACCTCTTCATCTAAGGGAAAGGAGCCGGCGCTGTAACAGCATGTCACACACACTCTTGTTTCTGCAGTTATGAGCTTATTCTGGGATTGATACTCTGATATTTTGGTTGTTTACATATTGTGGATTTCAAATTTGGGTTTCCGATGTTAAATGGTTTAATTAAACAATGTTTTAATTATTAATGTTTTCTAAGTAATGTTTTAAAAACGAAATTTTTGGACGTGAAAACTGGGTCGTTACAAGATGAATATATGAGAATGAGTGAAACTGTAACAAGGGATGCTGTAATAAAGTTCATAGAAGGTGTCATTTCATGTTTCGGTGAAAAGTATCTTAGAAAGCCAAATGAAGTTGATTTGGCAAGACTACTTCATGTGGGGGAGGAACGTGGATTTCCGGGTATGATAGGAAGCATTGATTGTATGCACTGGACATGGAAAAATTGTCCCACTGCTTGGGCTGGACAATATGCAGGTAGAAGCGGTAAACCAACAATCATTTTGGAAGCCGTTGCGTCGTATGACTTATGGATATGGCATGCATTCTTTGGAACACCAGGTACGTGCAATGACATTAACGTCCTCCATCGGTCTCCAATTTTTGATGATGTATTAGCAGGCCGGGCACCAAATGTGAGTTATGTCGTGAATGGTCAGGAAAATAATATGGCATATTATCTCACTGATGGCATATATCCCTCATGGGCTGCTTTTGTCAAGTCAATAACTTCCCCTCAACTTTGAAAACACAAGTTGTTTGCTGAACATCAAGAGGCCGCTAGAAAAGATGTTGAACGAGCATTTGGAGTTCTACAAGCTCGTTTTGCATTTCTTCGACACCCATGTCTTTTGTGGGACAAGGATATGATGGGGAAAATTATGATTGCATGTATTATCATTCATAATATGATTGTGGAGAATGAACGTTGCACATACCTTCACTATTATGATCCATCCAAATTTCTAAATGACAGGCCTACAAACCGGAAACGAAGAACCTATATTGAAGATGACGATCAAAATTTAGAATATTCCACGCAACGAATTGAAGACCTATCCAATTATATGACTAATAGGGCACAACTTCGCAACAGAGAAGCTCATAACATTCTGAAAAACAATTTAATTGAGCATATATGGCAAAAATTTGGCATTGATGGATAATTATGTAGTTTGCATCTTCGTATCTATAATCTTGTATTTCATGTTTTAATTGTAACTTTGTTTATCTATTTTATTAAGTTTGTTTTATAAATATAAAATATTTTTTGTAGTTTTATATTTAAAACAAATAATTTATTAATAGAACTAAATTAAATATTTTTATTTTTTTTAATAAATATTAGTAGAATAAAAAATAATCTTAAAATTTATTATTTATATAAAAAAATGGTTTGAGTTGGTTTGCTAATGGGTGTAAGAAGTTGAGTTTAGTTGGGTTGGATATGTGGAAGAGAGAGAAACTAATTAATTAACGGATAGTTGGGTTGGTTTTAGTTGTGAATGGGAGTAGTCTTAGTGTTTAAATGTTCTTATTATGAGCTTGTTTTTTTGGTTATTATGCGCAACTTAGGTTCTACACATGATAGTTTTACTATCGGTTAACCAAAAAATAAAAAAAATAAAACTTCGGTTTTAGTGATGGTTAGTGATTATGGGACTGTAGTTTGGTTTTGATTCGGTTTTTTGGATAACTCTCAAGGTTTTGCACATGACAACACAAAACGTGTTTCTATTTATGACATTTTTCACTTGTTAAATTATTCTTGATGCTTGAATCTATTCGAGAATATCCCTTGTATGATTCAAGGCTATCATGTTTACAATTGGATTGCTATTTGCTTCACATTTACAACAATGTAAGGCAAATGATCTATTAAAACAAAATACATGTTAAAATGTGACTTTATATAAATTAGAGCATTTACATATTTACAATTGGTAGTATCTTTCATTTTGACTTAATTTAGAAATAACTATGGAAGAATCCCACGTTGCGGGGTTGGTTACGCAATTGAGTTGATCCAAATGTTACATTTCATCCAAAATAAATCTTTCATCACCCTTGTATCTTTTGGGAACTCTTAGTGATGAGATTAATGGACCTAGTGAGCATCCTATTTTTAACACCTAAGCCAAGAAAATCAATATCAACAAAAAGTATAAAGAGATATGATCATACTGGTAGATTACTTGTATCAAATGAAGTCAACATTTGGTAAATTTGAACAATTACAATAAAGAAAGTAGAGAATTTTAGTCGTTGAGAAAATGATATCAAGCGATAACTGTAACCGTACTTCCGATAAATGCAATACCAAAATGTTATTTTTAATAGGCTTTAAAAAAGAGGAGCAAATACCATGCTTCTACACAGTAATTCTGCTATACATTATCAATTAAGGACTAATTCATCAAATCGACATAAAGTGTTAATTTCAATGAACAGAAAAGAGTAAAAACTTTTTCGAAACCAATAATCAGCGTCAATCTACATTCCGACAAAGATCCCTAATCAAATTAAAAACTATATGAGAAATTGTATTTGATAGTCCAAAGGGGATCATTATACTATCCTTACTTGACACTGCCAGCAAGAAACTATGGCCTAGATGTAAGCGAATTGGTCCAAGGGGGCTGGAGTTCTAACCTACATCACTGTACCTTTCATCCTTAACATGAAGATCCATTTTTGTAACCAAATCAAGCTCCTCAACACGTATAGTTGGACCATCTATGGCACTGTATAATGTAATTGTAAGTTGTAACAATCTCAATGGCATGGAAGGGTATTTTGCGATTTTAACTTTACAAAAACAGGAGAAAGGTGGAGGGTATAGCTGTCGAAAAATCTGTAAGCTTCGCTAATGATGGTGGGAAATTGGAGACACCCATGAGGAAGTCAGAGTCCATTAAAGAACCTGATGGGTATCTGAATGGAGCAGCCTACAAAAAAAAACTTCAGGTAACTTCAAACATATAGGAAGTAGCAAAAAAAAAAAACATAAACTGCATAAAACAGTAAAGTAAATCACAAATCAGAACCTAAATTTTTTGAATACTATGAATGAAAAAGAGTAATTCCACCTGTGATGTGAACGGTTACCAGCTGCCGGAATCTAGATTGGTTAACATGTAACCAAATCATATGTACTAAGTACTAGCAAAAGATTAATATATTTCAAAACAAAATCCATTAAAAAAACTCACAAGAGGAGCATAATTAACTATAAGAAAATTGGATGAAAAAAAATCATTTTGTAACTACTTTTTTGTTTTATGTGTGTTCCGGGTGAGTCAATCTAACCACCAGCATCAGTAAGTTTTTCCTGCACAAATTGAAAAGGTAAACATCATAAGAATAAGACATTTCGCTTAGACCATAAAAGACATAAATACCCTATGGTAGTAAGTCAAATACTAAGAATTATGTAGTTATAAATCGATACCAATTCACACAAGAAAGACGTCATAAATCAATACCTGAAACATAACTTAACAAAAAAGAAATAAAAAAGTAAATCAATATTTTGACATTATTAATATAAACTCATAAATACTCCATTTGTTGAAATGTAGTTATTATGTAGTTATTTAACAAAAGGGTTGAGAGTCTAAAAACACAAAACATACCTTGCCAGGTCTTCCTTTAGGAACTTTGAAGGTACGGATTGCTTCAAATCCAGATTCTAGGGGCAAGTTCATCAAGCAATGTACTTTTCAATTATTTTGTTATCATGATGGCATTATACTTTCACCTCTTATTACAACATTGTACTTCAAAATGAGATCGGTTCAGCTGGTACCAGGTTTACAACAGCTATAATTCGATAGATTTGTCAAAATACAATCCTGTTTTATTAAATCAACCTCAACTTCAGATTCAACATTAGGAAACAATATAAATGTGTTGAAAAGAAATCGTAAAAAAATACTTTTCTGAAGCCAAATATTTGAAACATGGGATTTTTTGGTGAATAAATTTGTATAGTTCAATAATTTAAGTAATTAACTAAAGTTCAAAGAAAAACACTTCCAAGGTTACCTATAAGATTGAAGAATTCCCATGTTTATGACAAAAAGTGCTTAAATTACTAACCTAATTAAGTAGTATATAATTAAGGTTCGCCAAATAGAAACTTAAATACCTTGATTCCTTCAAGATGTAGAGCCAATCCCATTTGGATTTTATAAAGCTAAAATATCTTCATATAGTAATTACCCGGTAAAGGATTTAATGAAAAATAAAAATAATCTATGGCTTCAAAGGATTCAATCTTCAAATGAAAATATAAATTTTAAAGAATTAGAGGCAAAATCGGGGTCAATATCTTACCAATTTGTTGCATAATAGAAAAACGAGCTGCAGTCTTTTCTCCATTCATATGTGTTTGCTTACTCATAAAAAAATTTCAAAAAGCTTCTGCAACAAAAATTTATAACAAATACACCTCATTTTACAATCTTCTTGTAAGTTATCTACAATTGCCCTCACCTGAATTTCCCACATCCGCCATGTCGGCGACAATTGTTTTAATGGGGGCGGTGTGACTCTTCTGCAATATTTTAGAGTTGTCTAGTCTTTTCTTTTCTTGTAATTATGAGTCGTCTATCGTTGTTGTTGTTACAATCAAAAGCCTCATTAATGCTGCAAACAGTAAATAAACAAAAATAAGATTGTCTGATATTTCTGCACACAAAACCAAACATATTGTAAATTAAGTGAACCACATTCCCTAGAAGTATGTAAATAAGTGAAACATATAGGATTCCAAGTTATGTCCATTTTCTTTATGAAACATGGAATATTGCAAGAGAACATGCAAACTACAAATCCATATAATGTTTTGTCCCAACTTCATTTGTAAACAGCGGAGTGATCATATCTAGGGAAAATATATAGAATATTTTAATCTCAATTTCATATTTTCAAGAAAAAAATTGTTGTGGATAAACACTAGTGCATGAGAAGTGATAAATTCAATATATTGAAAAATTGCTTGCACCCAAGCATCACCATCATAAACAACCATAATCTCACATGTAGTACCATTGCATACCCTGAAAAGTTAGAAATGTTGGGGTTTGAGCATTCTAACACTCCTAAGTGTACATGCAACCCTAAATACATTGGATCTATGTTTTCTCTATTATACATGTAAATATGAATATTCCAATGTATTATCCTATCTAACATACAATCTTTGATACTTGGGTAATAAAACAAGTTAGAATACATACCTTATTGATGTAGCTTGACTCCATGAAGCTTGAGAGCCTAGTGCCTCAAGTGTGACACCTCAAATGGTTCACACAACATCATCAACACTTAGAATAACCATGAGAAGAAGACATAAGACTTGAAAATTTGGCTTGCCCTCCATATTATGCACTAGTGCCAATTTCTCCAACCAATGGGGTCTTTATATAGTGTGCACATTAGGGTTACACCATGTAACCCATGACTTTACCCATTCCTTATGCTCCATGGGTTTTAACTGATGGGTTTTAGTCATAAGACATCCTATGTGCTCATATAAACCCTAATGCTTGGATCTAGGTTTCACTATTGTACATGCTTTGAATCCAAGAATATAAACCCTAATTCTAGCATATGGAAATCAATATTAACATATAATTAGGTTTAAGATATTAGCTTGATTGTTATGTAGCAATAACAATCCTAATTCCTCCTTGAATTGACTTTGGAATGCTTAGAGTCACAAGTATCACTCCTCTAATGGCTTACAAACACCAAGAGCAAATGGAGAAGGTATAAAGAGAGAGGAGAGATGTTAGAATTCGTCCTTAGATGCTCTAGGGATCAAGTGCATGAATTCTAAGGCCTTAGGGGTCTTTATATAGGGTTAGAGATAGGGTTTCAGTCATTATCCTTATCTAGTTGCTTATCCACAAAGCAACCATAAGATAAGCCTTGAAAACCCTTATCCTTTATCCTTTGGACGATTTCAAGGATCCTTATCTCCTTGAATTCGTTCAACCCATATTTAGGATAACCATTACCATATTTTGTAACTATCACATAATTACAATTCAGCCCCTCTAGTTTAATTAATTACACTTGATCACAAAATTAATTCCTAATTAATTATTGACCAATATTAATTAAGCAAATATGATTTCTCCTTTAATATATTATTCTTATAACATATTAATAAATCATAATAACCTCTCTCTCTTTATTTATATCTCCAATCAAGTTGCTTTGGTGAAGGCAACCCAAAAGGACCATGCACCATCGGGTCAAGTACATACCAAAATAGTTATGGACTTAGATACTAATCCAACATTAACCTCCATGGAGTATCCATGGATCACCACATGGGTTAAACCCAACATAAGGAATCATGGATCATAAGCCCACATATATAAAAAATGAATGATTTACACAATCAATCCCCATATATTTAATTAGTCTCATTTGATCACTAAATTAAGTCCAAATTAATTCTTGATCAATACTAATTAAATAACATGATTTCATATTAATATATTAGAACTTATAATATATTAATATGTCACAAATGTCTTTTTCTCATAAACGTCTATCCAAATGTTCTGATGCCATGTAACCCAAATGGACCAAGTCAATCGGGTCAAGTACATACCAAATATAGTTCTGATGCCATGCTTACCTTCCGAGTTGACATCTGCGAGGTGAGTTATCCTCACTATATCGATAGGGTATACGACACCAAGGCCGACCCTTTAATTGTTATTGTTATGGTATGTTGCATGTGCTCATGATTTGTTAGTTTGGAATCGAGGTAGATAGTATGTTATGCTTTTATGAATCGTAGGGGTTGGTGTGATAGTGACCTGCTAGGTCGGTACTCTAGTTATAGGAGAATTTTATGATTGTGATAAGTGAGATAGATATGTTTGATGTTTGAATATGCCAGTATATGATTGCTATGCGCACATGGTTATTTGCTTGTTGGTTGGGTTGAGGTGGTCCCGCTTCATCATACCCTATAAGTGGTCCAGGGAGACTGTAGGCTAATGTGGCGGACCAGTCATGCCGAAGGCTCGGGATAGATCTAGACAGACTGTAGGCCCAGTAGGGCGGTCCAGTCGGCCGATGGCCCAGTATGCATGTTGATTGATTGATTGACTATTACTGTTATGGTATTATCAGTGTGATGTTGGTATTTTGGGGGTAGCTCACTAAGCCCTCGGGCTTACAGTTTTTAGTTTACTGTTTCAGGTATTTCAGGAGATCGTGGAAAGGCGAAGGCGTGACCGTATCGCTCCTCATCCTTATGTTATGATTTTTGGGACACTCTGATGGAAAATGATTGGAAAACATTTTTGTCAACAATGCTATGTGGTTTTAAATATGATTGAAAAAGTTTAAATTTGTGTGAATTTTATCACTTAGACCCACCCCTACTGGAAGGTAACTCACTTCGATGTCGTCCAGTGTCTGAACTGTCCTCGGCGTGAAGATTGATTCTCCTCGACTCCTCAATCCCTACACGAAAATCCTCAAGTCAACAAATAGAACATACAACCCTAACCAGGGTTAACACAAAACCTGGAAAAGTTAACATTGGTCAAAGTCAACACCCAGTTGACCTGACTCGCCGAGTTGGTCAACATTGGTCAAAGTCAACACCCAGTTGATCTGACTCGCCGAGTTGGTCTACCAACTCGTCGAGTCCATACTTCACTAACCCAATCCAACCCCGACTCTACTCTCCGAGTCTAGCAAGAACTCGACGGGTTCTCCTTCATACAAACCATCGGGACCCTCTTCATCCGACTCACCGATTTCATCCATGAACTCATCGAGTTCATCCATGAACTCATCGAGTTCATCTCCCTCATAAAAATATTTCCACCATATGACTCGCCAAGTTGTATAAACAACTCGTCGAGTTCATCTGTTGGATTAATGTCTAAGTCCATAACTATATTTGGTATGTACTTGACCCGACCCGACATGGTCCATTTGGGTTGCATGGCATCATGCACTTGGATAGACTAAATGAGAGAAATAAGACACTTATGGTTATTAATATATTATAAGTTCTAATATATTAATAATAAGAATAATAATATTTAATTAGTATTGATCAAGAATTAATTTAGAATTAATTATGTGATCAAAAGAAGACTAATTAAATATATGGGTTGATTGTGTAAATCATCCATAACTTATATAGTGGGCCAAAGCTCCATGGATAATCAAGTTGGGTTAAACCCATAGGATGCTCGAAGGATGCTCCATGGAGGTTACACAACCCATTGGTCATGGAAATGAAAGGTCATGACAATTAGGGTTTACATGGTGTAACCCTAATTGTAACACACTATATAAGCATCATATTATTCACCAAAATCGGACACTAGTGTGTGTAAAAGAAGGGCTAGCCGATTTCATGAAGTGTGGATTTCTCTCTAAGTTATTCCAAGAGAATTTGATGTTTTGTGAGCCATTTGCGGTGTCACATTTGAGGCACTAGGCACTCAAGCCCCATGGAGTCAAGCTACACAACAAGAGGTATGTATTCTATCCATATTATTACCCAAGTATCTATGATTGTATGCTAGATAGGGTAATACCTTGGAATATTAGTATTGGCATGTATATTAGAGAAAACATAGATCCAAGGTATTTAGGGTTGCATGTACACCATAGGAGTGTTAGAATGCTCAAAACCCAACAGTGGCATTAGAGC